TCAAAGGTTTAGCTCAGCCTGCTCCCCCATATTCCAGCAGTGACCCAGAAAATCAGCCCCCCTGCTCCCCCTTCTAGTAGTAACTCAGCAGCTCAGCTCAATCCTTTTCCTATTTCCATTTTAAACCCTACTGTAAACTCTGGGAGGGGGGAGCAGTACAGCTGAGCTGCTTACAAAACAGTTTGAAAGACTTCAGTGCTCCTGCTGTGTATTTGAGGATGAATTTATCTGCAGTGCCTACAGCTACAGAGATAGGTGGGAATTTTTGTCATTTAATTTAATGCTTCTTAAGCTGCTAATATAACCTGGCAGGAGTTATACGCATTACCTAAACTATAATAGATATAATTTAATTCCTAAAACATTTGTTTAAACAGTCTAATGGAAGATTGCTCATAACAAATTCTGAAACCAAAACAAGTCATACATTCCAAAAATACACTCGTCGAGTCCAGATAATATTGAAATCATACCAAGCAAATCATTATTAATTCCAATGACGTTAGCCTACATCACAATCTGCAACCACACAATTGTGGATTCAACCTTTGTATTTATTTTTAATTAGTATCATTATTTTAACAATTATTTTTGTTCAATAAGGATCAATCAACACACCGATCTTCTGCCAGGTCAGAACATTCCTTTTCAATGACAAAGATCAGACCACCCACTAATTTCAATTTGGAAGATACCAGTCCTTTCTTTATTGTATTAGCCATCATTCACACGAGTAAAAGCCTGCCCGTACAGATCCGTGCTTCGTGCACGGCCGTATCGGGCCACTCCCGGGAAGGACAGGTGCTGCGTGTGATTGTACACAGCAGCCTGTTCTTCTCGATGGGAGTACGCGGCCATATGCTCACCCGAACTGCACGTCCGTGCTGGTGCGGATGTCCATACTCGTACGCTTACAGGATGGATCCTATTTGCGTCCGAGCAGGGACACCCGCACGGACGTGCAGGGCGGGTAAGCGTACGGCGGCGTACGGCAGTGTACTCCCATAGAGAAGAACAGGCAAATCACACACAGCACCTGTCCTTCCCGGGAGTGGCCCGATACGGCCGGGCACGCATCATGGATCTGTACGGGCTGGCTGTTACTCGTGAGAATGAGTTCTAAGTCACATTATTACTTATGTAACCAGCACAACAGCGACATGAATCTATCTACATGAATGGTCTACCTTGACGTTGATTTTATGTCTTTGGGTAGCCTAAAATTGGTCACTTATTTTACAATCTGATTGTCCTTTCGATTTACCAACAACTATAAAGATTGATAACCAATATAAGCACTGCGTAAAATTGTTGGCGTTATATAAATACCTGTAATAAATATTAACTACCTCCGGGCCGGCCGTAGTAAAAAAACGGCCGGCCAGGAGCTCTCTCGATCTGTCAAAGGAATTAATATTATTTTTAGGATTATAGAGGATTTAGGTTGCACCAACAGCTTGGAAGTGCTTTACAAATTAAAGGGAGACAGTACAGTTACAATACAATTCAATATAAGAGGGTCCTGATCCTGAGAGCATACAATCTGAAGGGGTGGTTAAGTGATAAACAAAGCGTTAACTGTGTAGCATTGCGCTAATAGAGAAAGTAAAAGTTCACATGTTAGGTAGAGGAGGTATAGGTTTACCCTGAAGAGATGAGATTTCAGAGATTGCCTAAAGGTGGATAGAGTAGGAGATAAAGGGTAGGGAGGTAGGAGGTAGGGAGTTTAAGAAGATGAGAGACTCTGGAGAAGTTCTGGAGGTGACCATGAGAGGAGGTGATGAGGGGGATAGAGATCAGGAGGTCTTGGGAGGAGCGAGGAGGACAGTTTGGGTGATATTTTGATACAAGGTTGCTGAGGCAGCTCAGGGCACACTTGTGGATGGCTTTGTTTCTTGTTGTTAGTATTTTAAATTGTATTTCTGGGGTGACTGAAAGCCAGTGGAGGGATTTGCAAAGAAGGGCATCATGATGACGCCATCATCCACATAGTGGTTGGTAAGGGGCACAGGTTTGACGGCAGCATTGTTTTGGATGCTGAAAGGATTGCTTTAATAGGCCTTGGTAAATCTAAAGCTGACTATACATATTGAAATTCGTTTGTACAATCCTGTATATCCATCTTTAGATTTACCAAAATTATTGTGACCTCAGGGGCTATCTAAACAATCTTCTATAGATCTACTAACAACTATGTAATATCAAGGCCTGTCTCACTGCATACAAATCAACTGGATTGTTCAGGGAGGTCCTCATATAACATAATTTTGGTTAATCTAAAACAGCACACAGAGTGTTATATATATATGGCCAGTTCAAGTGTTGCCTTACGTAATATATGACAAGAGCATTACCTCTCCGAAAATTGTAATAACACAAGCTGTATTTTATTTCTATTCCATTAGGTTTCCTCCTCCAGCCATTATTGGGTGCTTGGAGTGACACCTGCTCATCCAGGTTTGGCAGGAGGCGGCCCTTTATACTTGTTCTTGCCATAGGTAAGTGTTCTATCATGTGTAAAAGGTAACCTGCAAAAGACTTTATGTCCACAAGGAATGTTCAACAATAAGTGGCCTCCAAGGCAGCACTTGAAATTCAACTATTAAAACTGATATAAACCCAACTGAAAAACATTAAAGGAGAACAATGGCGTTAAGCCTTTCCCCATAGTTCTCCTTAGGGTAACGGGAGGACACAAACTAGCGTCCTCCCGTCACCCTAGGCTCAGTATGCCGCGAGCAGCTGCTCGCAGTATACTGAGATGCCGCAGCTGAAGCGGATCCCGACAATTATGCCGGGATCCACCCAGCTGCGTGACTGACAGCTGGCTCTGCCTATCTAGAGGCAGAGCCAGCTGTACCCGCCCTGTCCGTTCCGCCAGTCAGCACTGGCGGGGAGGGGGGAATCCAGCCCCTCCCCTGTCATGGCTGAGAGCCGTGACAGGATCGAGAGGTGAGCGAACGCCGGTATGTGTTCGCTCACCTCCCGATCTACTGAGCCGACCTGTGACAGTCTCATTGTCACAGGTCGGCTAGAACTATGAGGTGAGTGAAAAGCACTCACCTCATAGTTCTCCTTTAAGTTTGACTACACACTGTGTATCATATTTTTATAAAAATACTGTTTAAATGTTTTTTCTTCCTTTTTTGCACCTCAGTGCTGCTGATATCCTCCAGCTTTTCTAGCCACTTCCTGTCTACATGCTCATGCTTCAGCGTCAGCTGCACATCAATGTTCAGGACCGGCTTCCAGATAGTTCTGTCCTAGGGTGACAACACTGCTCCTCCATAGATACAGTACAGTGAGTGAGTGTGAGCATTCACCCTAGAACAGAAAGTGTGAAACTGGCAGGATCACCAGCTGAAAATTAAGGAAAAAAGACTAAAAATAAAAAAACTAAAACTGGCTATACACTGGTAGATTTTTGAACAAACTTTAGTACAGGTGAAACTCGATTAATTAGAATATCGTGCAAAAGTAATTGCAGTGAGTGCTGCAAAAGGGGCCCAAACCAAGTACTGAGTACATATGCATGCTTGTACTTTTCAGAGGTCCGATATTGTTCCATGTACAATCCTTGTTTTATTGATTGCATGTAATAATCTACTTTTTTGAGGTGGTGGATTTGGGGTTCTTGGGGTTTTCATGAGCTGTAAGCCATAATCATCACAATGATGACAAATCACGGCTTGAACTATCTTGCTTTGCATGTAATGAGTCTCTCTCATATATTAGTTTCACATTTTAAGTTGCATTAGTGAAATAAATTAACTTTGCACGATATTCTAATTATTCGAGTTTCACCTGTATGTCCCATCAGAACATTTGATAATGCTATCAGAGACTTGCTTGTAGAATGTCGTTCAAAATTTTGCTCATTCAAGAGAATTTTTCTATCCTGTTCCTTCAAATTTTTTCATCCCTATGGTCAAAATCGGCGATTTAAGTCCATCAACTTAGAAAATTGAATGAACCCCTCCAGTTTTTTGTTTTTTTAAACATTCTAGTGGTGCATGGCCAGCTTTATGCAGCCGTATATTAAATGTTTGCTCTTAGGTTTAAACATGGTTTAAAACAGATGTGCAGATATGAGAGAGCAAATATTCTATGCTGATGTTGGGGGGGTTGGGGATAATGGTGTCTCTTTAAACACGTGCACTATAGTAGCCAAGGACACAGCACATACGAGAAAGACTGACTAGATAAAATTGCATGACAAGAAAAAGGAACTCTGGGAGTGAGCGATAACACTGGGTTATAAAATATGGAACTGAAACACCTTTATGTGTTCAGTGCTTCAGCCAACGCCCTTGGGACAATAATCCCACTATTATCTATTCACTGATAGTTGTCTAGGTGAGTCAACATCTCAACAAAGCACTGCGATCATCAGTAGAATGGTAATGGCTGGGCAGAGCACAAGGCTGCTCATAGAATGGTAGAGTTTGGAATCGATAAATAGGCTTACCAATTCTCATAGTGGTCACTGGTCATGAAGAGCCAATACCCAGCTCAGCCTAAAGCCCAATTGAAGCTTCCTTTATTATTACCATAATGAAGTCAGGCTACACAATCAGTAAGAGTTGTGGGCTCCTTTTTTTATTTATTTTTTAGCAGTTCTAGTTGCTGCATCAAGGGTCCGAGAAGCACAAAGTAGAGATGAACTGTTGCTCAGAACTGCACTTTGGGTCTTTTAGTGGTCTGATAACTAAATCAACAACACTCACGCTCCCTGAGCAGTGCTGTAATTGGATCACTAGGCACTCGGCACTGGGCAGGTGGCATATAGATACAGTAGATAGACAGACAGACAGACAAAGGTAGATGGGTGCACAGCTATGGCATAGATAACGAGAAGGTAGCAGGTGACAACAAGATATCTCACTGGTGTTAAGTAATTGCCTGTCCATGTTCTCATTCCTGGGGAACCAGAACCTCTCTGTATAGAAGAGGTAAAAATAAGCCTTTGCCCACTTAGATATTATTTCCTAGCATATTAGAAATTTTCTGTGTACAACAACGATGGCTTTCTACACTCAGAAGAGATACTCTCAGAAGATCATTTCTTGTCTTCACTAAACTCCAACATGGTCAGATAGTTGCCTGCCCGTTGTAAGCTCATCTGGCTGTTTGTGGATCACATGTGAGCAAAATATTCCTCAACGATGAATACTTTTCCAATAGTGTTTCTTGCTTTTTTGTTCTAGGAGCCTTATTTGGCCTCACGCTGCTGCTGAATGGGAGGGACATTGGCCTGTCCGTGTCAGATACACAGGTCAACCATAAATGGGGCCTCATTCTCACCATCTGTGGAGTCATCCTCATGGATTTTAGTGCAGACTCTGCAGACAATCCCAGCCATGCCTACATGATGGACGTGTGCTCACCAGGGGATCAAGATCGGGGACTCAATATTCACGCTCTGCTTGGTGGTAAGAACTTCCTACACATATAAACCCACCTCCACCCCTCCGGCCTTTCAAATTAAAAACAAGATGCCTTACACCCCACCGCTGTTGTCGTTGTACCCCTTTGTACAGGTTATGTCACAAAAACTGGCAATATAGAAATAGATCATGACAAGCTCAAAGCCTTGGGCATGTAAAAGTAATGAAAACCGTAAATCATGAATGAATTACCTTTAATAAGCTGCATTTCTAATGACCATGTTCACTGGCCTTCAAATGACTACACATGACCCCCATTATAATTTTGCAACAACAGCCAAGTTGTTTGTTTTAAGGTCATTGCAAAACACAAGGGAGCACTATTTGTCCATGAAAAAGAGGTTTAACCTCCTTATAAGGAAGGGGCTCTTTACCGGATGAACTGTAAAAATGTGAATTGGACTTCCACGGGAGCTAGTTCTATCCAACTCAGTAGAGTCCTTCAAAAAAGGGTTGGATGTGTTTTTGAATGCACAATTATAACTGACTATTAATATGTATAAGAAATAATTGTGGATTCTTTATCCACCGAGTGTCTGATTACCTTGGAGATCAGGAAGGATTTTTGTTCCCTGCCTTATAAAGGTTTTTTGCCTTTCTTTGAATTATCTCTGGGTTTAGGGTTCTGACGATGTAGGTTTTTAATTTATTTTTGTCTTATGGATATGTCTTTTTTTCAACCTAGTTATGTAACTATGTACTGATTCTTTTAGAAAACAAAAATATATTATCCCCATGTCCCCAAAATACCTTACCTTCCATAATGCAAGTAGGCTTTTTCCTGCTTACCCCCAGCATGACTGTGCTGTCATTCAGCCAGAGATGAGCACAGGTAGATAGCTTGTAAGGATGTTGAGTACTGGAGATCTGCTTACTTGTGCTGTAGCCGCTTTCCCATTTCAAGGAAAGTGGATGTGTCATAATTTCTAATTTCAGCAGCTCAAAAGTTTTATAGCAATATCCTGCCTTTCAACCACTTTACAATAAATAGGTTTACTCCCCTTCATGACCAGAGCAATTTTCAATGATGTCAACAGCAGCGATGAGCTGTCACCGGATGCCACCAGAGATATCTTCTTCAATAAAAGAAGAAACTGTATTTTCTTCATTAAAAGTTGGAAGACATGCATCACGGGAGTATGGGGAGGTTATTCCAATTGTGCTATAATAGCTGAAGGATCTGAGTTTACTGAGATTGCTTGCCAACTGTTAATTAAGAAAATAAAGTTTATTCTGCTTATTGAAGACTATGTCCCCTGTGTGGGCTCAATGCTGCTGCAGACAATTCTTCCTTCAAGTCCCTGGATGGATAGGTCCAGGGAACGTGTGATCCAATTTGCAGGTGATGGAAATGCCACAGCGGCTGGGTCCATGGAGGTTATGAATCAGAAAAGGACCTCAAAGCCAAAGTAGGTGGGTTGGAGTTTCTCCTTCATTCGGGACAGCCAGGAAAGCAGAACAAATGAATAGGCAGCCGTGGCCCAATGATAACTGATACTACATTTCTATATACATTACGAGCTGGTTCGTTAATTAGGTCTTTCCTATGCTATGCAAAACTGTTTAGGATAGAATAGCGAGGGATTAGAACACAAGTTATTATTGCTTTGGGTGTTTAAAGATCTCCTCCTTCTGCAGGGCTTAAACATGATAGGTTGTATTATGGACTCACAAACTGGCACAAATCACCATGGATTAATTACTTGCTGTGTCGGGTATAGCCAACACCAAAATTTCCTGTTTCACCAATGCTGGCTATACCCTACACGGCAAGTGAGTAATCCCTGGTGATTTGTGCCAGTCCATTATACAGCCTATCATGTTTAAGCCCTGCGAAAGGGGGAGGTCTTCAAACCCCCAAAATGTGTTGGATTTTCTTTTCTGTCCTTTAGGAACCTATTCCATTATTAAATGTTTTGGACTCTTATTCTATCTTGTTTGGCCTTCCCATTGGACTGTATATATATACGTACTGTATATCTTCAACACTGGATTCCCTTGTATGTGGGAGTTCCCTTTTTTTGTTGATAGTGGCCTCACAGGAGCCATTGCTTTATCGCGTTTAGACCAATCATCTAAATTAAGCTTATATATGAATCCAGCCCCTCACCAGGCTTGTATGGCGGTCTGGGTCCCTGTTAGGGAGATTCAACTTCTCTATTTGTCCCATTAACTGTTATCACTGAACGTGAGAGAAGAGCCCAAATTTGGGGTTGTCATTAGAACAGGAATTGAATGGAAAACTACCAATGGGGACACTAGTTCTGGTGACCCTGTTGACCATTAGGGCTTTGCTTCTCTTTGGGGCAATTTCCTTTCATTTACTGTTGTAGCTATCAGACAGAAAGTGAAAGGAAAGCCCTCCAGATGGATGAAAGGGGCAAGGCCAGGGACAGTCAGACTAGGAAGGAAAGGGCTAGACAATGCTGGATGCTGGATCCTCCAGCCAGGAAATGAGGTGGGTTCTATCTGACGTCCTGCGGCTTCTATTGCTCATTGTGGGGAGATCACAGTATGCGGTGAAATCAAAGCAAGCAATTTCAGTCCAGGAGAGAAGCCGGTACAGCTGTGCAAGACTGGCCGTCATGCAATGTGGGCCCCTTTCCCCCGTGTATTGGCGCTCATGTTGGGGTGACCTCCGCTCTACACCTGCTTATTTTTAGCTCGGTCTATCGGCACGCTGTGTGTACAAATTGTTTTTATTTGCTGTCGCCTGGAATTCATCTATAAAAGATGGAAAGCAAATAAGAAGCCCAGGCAGCTGCTAGAATTTCCTGCTGATAGGCCGACAGACTTGCAACAGGATCTATGGTGGGCTGTGTGGACCCTCAAGTGGCTGTGCTGGTTCTATGATGGCAAAAAAGCTGATATTATAACCCTCTCTTACTCTATCTTGGCTTCAGTTCTACTTTAAGGCCCCTTAAACTGTTCTTAAGGTATACAAAAGTGCCTTTTGAGTGAGTATTATTGTATGTATTTTTTGCATGCTTTGAATGCAGTTGTACACGCTTAGCATTGTTGCTTATTTTTTCTTGACAAAAACCTACTGTGGCAAATCGTTGTGTGGTCAGTTAGTCTTGGGTTCTTCTTTGATTGTTTCCTTAATCTGACGATTTTTATTTCTTGCTTTAGGCCTTGGTGGTGGTTTTGGCTATGTAGTTGGTGGCATTAACTGGAACAAGACAAGCTTTGGAAAAGCCATGGGAGGACAGTTACGGGTTATCTATATGTTCACATCAATAACACTGACGATCACCACAGTCCTAACGTTAATCAGCATTCCGGAAAAACCTCTTCAGTGTTTCAACAAAAAGAAGAAAGTGATGAAAAGCCCAAGTCTTCCCCTGCCTCCATCACCTCCCATATTTTTTGAAGAGCAAGGAAATCAACAACAACAACCCTCACAAAACTCAAACCACTTATATGCAAGCTTCACCAGTCCGATTTCTCCTCTCAGCCCACTCACACCAAAGTATGGCAGCCTTATCAGCCGTGACAATTCTTTAACTGGTATTAATGAGTTTGCCTCCTCTTTTGGTACTACCAACATTGACAGTGTACTCATTGACTGTTTTACTGGAGGGCTAGATGGTTTCACCACAACCTCTGGTAGTTTGCCAAGGCAGGCCAGTAGCCTCCCTCGAGTACCCGAGAATCTGTACTGCAGTGGTAACCGAAGCCTTGACTGCGCAGACAACCTGACAAGTCCCGGCACAGATAGAAGCAGCTTAAGAGTTGGGTCCCTTGATGCACCAAAGCCAAGAGCATCAGGAATTCTGAAAAGGCCGCAGTCACTGGCCATTCCGGATATAGTTACGGGAACATGTCCAGAGAGCAGCCGGAGACGGAATGTAACCTTTAGCCAACAGGTAACATGGACAGAATAATAATTGTATACCAATAGATAATGGTGTAGGAATGGGGACACAGCACCTACCAGGGTAATTTTTAAGCCCCTTATTTGACATTTTTAGAATGACTGCATACTGGGAATCTGTATGTAAATGTTTCATGAGCTTAAATGTCATAACATATGACATGGGTCATTCCAAATGCATAACTATGGAAAAATGCAACATTTTGAGTTTCCACTAGAACAGGAATTAAGGGGAAATCTCTCATTGCAGGAAGTGAAGGGAAATCTCCCTATTGACACACAGCACAAACCTGGCAGGTGTTGTTACCCTTTCCTTATATAAATAATAGTTCTTGCTTTACCTATACTTTAAATGTGATCCATTTATTAAATAATTTGTTTGGTTATCTGATTCTAATTTATATGCCTATAAACATTTGCTCTATAAAACGGAACCTTTTCCGAGGGAAACATGAAGGCTTCAATTGCTGTCTTCAGTTTCTGCAAATACTGCTGTCATGCTGACCCTCTGGCTAGAACACTTTAAGCCACTAGCCCAGAACAAGTAAATGGGTAAAGTCTTCTCACTTTACTCTGAGTTTTCTGATCTGACAGTGACTCGCACAATATTGCAGCCAGAGGGCCAGCATAACAGCCAATCAACTAACGTATTCAGAAAGAAGTTAGCACAGCCCCCATATTTCTTCTAAGAAATGTTCATTTTAAAGTTTAGCTCCAGCTAATCAGATATTTAAAACTTAAGTGGACACCAATAGTTTGAATCACCCTTTGCCTTCTTATATCTCACGGAGACTTATTTTTTCTCTGCTGTCTCCCATAACACTATAACACAGCATTGCTATCACAGCATGACACCATCACTTGGCTTTGTGGACCACCATGGCATTCCCGAAAATAAGATACCAGCTTTGGATGGGGTCAGCCTTTAAAGTCTTTAGGATTCCCAATGCCATTTCCTACCGGCTGCACATAGTCATCTTCCCTTCACTTCCCCAATGCTCTATTTGGCTGCATGGACTGAGTAAAGGGGTGTGAGTAAAGGAACAGATGTCTAAGCTCCAAGTGCTGGGTGTCTAAACAATCAATCACCGACAACGTCACATGCGAACAAGTGGAGTAACTGACATCTTCCTCCATACTTAGAAGTATAGGGCATTTTTTTCACTCCCATTGGCTGAGTAGGGGTGAATATGTGCAGCTGGTGGGGCCTCCAATAAAGTAAACCTGTTGTCCTGCATGGGCAATGAAATGTGTGACTTTATTGAGTTTTTCACTCCCATTGGCTGAGTAGGGGTGAATATGTGCGGCTGGTGGGGCCTCCAATAAAGTAAACCTGTTGTCCTGCATGGGCAATGAAATGTGTGACTTTATCGAGTTTTTCCTTGGGTTTTTATCTTGCCCATATAACCTTTTGTTAAAAGCAAGATGGGCAAACAATGGGTACACCAAAGAAATCAATGGGGGGGATATCACCTCTGGTTATCTAAACGGGGAGGGGTGGTGCCTAGGCAGGCAAACCACCTTAGCACACACTAGGAGAGGTAAATAAAGTTAGGTTGCGTGTATGTAGATGAGGCGAATTAAATGTGTTCCTTCCTGGGCATATGAGGCACAAGCTGTACCATTTGATGTTTACGATTCAGATTTAAACTCTGCAAACTGGTTCTCATTAAATGTTGTAACTAAGTTTGAGGACATATAAGGTGACTGTGCATGACTTAATGTTACATGGTTTGATTTCTAGGTGTTTCTGACTATATTGTATGCTGATATGGAGTTCTTATGGTGCAGGTGGCTAACATATTGCTGAATGGTGTAAAGTATGAAAGCGACCTCAATGGATCCACCGAGATATCTCATCAGAGGCTTTCCATGAAACTCCTGTGCTCGTCCATCTGCCACATGCCTAAAGCGCTGCGCAATCTATGCATCAATCATTTTCTAGGTAAAGTCTGAGATCATGGCTGTGTATGGTTCAAGAACTTTGTTAGTACATTGCAATCCTTGTACCAAGACTTTCCTTTCCATCCCAGGGATCTGGACAGTGCTGTAAATCTTAGCAAGCCTCACTTATCAGGGTGCCCGAGGGAAACATGGCCTTGGTCAGTGCTGTTAATAGAAGTCAATCAGATGTCCTTTTCATTCTCTGAGCATGAAACTATTTTTGTCTTAGACACTTTTCTGTATGAATAACTTCTCCACAGGATGCAATAATACAACAAGTTTGAATGGGTCACTCATTCTTTTGGATCTTGAGTCTAACATAGGCAGACTAGGAAGACTGGTTTAAGGAAAAGTGAATGTTATGGGTTTCTAGGTAATATATCCCTTACCAGGAAGTAGGGACCATTCTGGCACAGCAACATGAAGCAGGATGTTTCTAGAGCTGGTCATTCCTTGTGGTTGCATGTGGTGGGCATGAGATTAGCAGGTTTCAATAAAGTCCAAGTCGTGTTGATTGTCCCAACAAGACTTGTCTTTTTGGTTGCCAAATGACTTTACCTATTAGCTGTGGAGGAATTGCCAGTTCAACAAAGATTTTTTTTCCTAATACACTCCAAGTGTACTTATTTTAGTGGACCAGCCTCCGATTTTCAGATGCCTAAAGAGGCCAGCATTTGTCCTTAAAGTGAACCAATGCTTTTGGACTTACCTTTCCTTTACTCCCTCACCGCTCCATTCACTGCTTGGTGGTTGGCCTCTTAGGCTCCAGCGTTGTCACATAGGAGTGAAGAGAGAGACCTAAGCCATAGGACTGGCTAAAATTGACTTGGAATTTATCCCTAGGCTTCTTCGCCAGAAGGATCAGTGGAGGAGAGAAGGGCAGGAAAGCATATTATGCTGCAGGGACAAGCTTTATTATGATCCTGTTAGAGTCATTGTAAGTTTTCCAGTTTTTATGAATCAGCCCCAATCTGTATACATGCATGAATATTTAAAGTCTAATATTAAGCCTAAACTTTTTTTTTTAAATGAGTAGATTAGTAAAGGAATTTTTTTTTACTGGCTATGTCTTATCAGTGATATTTCACTTCAATTTCTGTCCCAGAGAAACATCAGGAAGTAAGGGGAGATCTCCTTAAACGGGATACCCTCTCTTAGACAAGTGTTACCACCAGGGCCGGATTTACTCTCTCTGCTGCCCCAAGGCCCCTCTTCCCTGCCAACCCCGCGGTGGAGGTGGTAGGATTGGTTTTATTTTTACATTTTTTTCTTAATTTTTTAAAACTTTTTTTATCACTTTTTTTAATTATTTCTTATCTTTTACTTTTTTTTATTTTCACTTAACTTTATTGCTATCACACAGGAGCTAACAAGCCCTGTGTGATAGCATTTGGAGGTGACAGGTTCTCTTTATTGAACTGACGTTCTCAGCTCTAAAACCCGCTCTCCATCCCGAACTACCTTGCCGTGGTCCCAGGTCCCCCAGAAGAGCGGGGGATCCTGAAAACCACGGCGGGGAGGGAGGCGGCCAGCAGGGAGAGGCAGCCAGAGGTGGGGGCGGACCATGGAGGGGGGGTGGCAGGGGAGGATTGACGAGCAGGCTAATTACAATGCCAATTCACTTGTACAAAATGAGCTGCAGCTGCATTTAGCCCTGCTGCTTGCCCAAAGCAGGATTAAATGTAGAAAAAACATCCCACCTGCGACATCGCTGAGATCACTTGTACAAAACAAGCAGCGGCTTCCCTGCTGTACATTTAGCTCTGCTTGCCCAAAGCAGGGCTAAATGTATAAAACAACTACCCGCCCGGCGCCCGGAACTGCATGTCCCGGGCACCGGGCGATAGGAATTCCATACCTCTGCTGCCCCTCTACTCCCTGCTGCCCCGAGGCCAGGCCTTGGTTGACCTTGTGGGAAATCTGGCGCTGGTTACCACAACATGTGTCCCCATTGGAAGATTTTCCCCTCACCTTCTGTTCCTGTGACAGGAAAAATGTTGGATTTACTGTCACTTCTTATTCGAAGACAATAGTCATTAGCACATATAGACAGATATAGAGAGTGTGAATTTCTCCAGTGGGGACGTAGACAGAAATAAAACCTCACCCTACTCTACCAAAACAAATGTTTCAACTTTTCATACAATTTCATTGCAGTGGTAGCTTTTTAGATATGTTTATAGTTCAAAAAGTGGATCAGTAGGAATTATTGATCAATTATTGATTAAATGATGCAGGAAAATGTTGGATTGAAGTAATTACTAGATAAAGGCTTTTATAGAGACTTGAACAGTATCAAACCTTCCAGCTTTCATCCACCTAGGTAGCTTTCATCAACCTAAACCTATGTTTGTAGGTATGTGTGTAGGTTGGTGGATAAGTGGAAACATTGCTTTTTGTCTTGCAGGTTGGTTGTCATTTGAAGGAATGTTGCTATTCTATACTGACTTCATGGGTGAAGTGGTCTTCCAAGGAGATCCTAGGGCTCCGCACAACTCCGAGGAATATCATAAATACAACGCAGGTGTCACAATGGGATGCTGGGGAATGTGTATATATGCCTTCAGTGCAGCTCTTTACTCAGGTATCTGTACTGTGATTCTTCCAGTTGCTTTATAAAGCCGGTCACACATGTTCTGATTGTGCAATGTCCTTTTAGATCTACTACAAACTGTCTAGTGTGAACATCGACCTGATTGGATTGTTTCTGCTGATTGGTTATAAACTGAATGGATAGTTAGTCCCGACCGGGTTATAGACTATAAGTATGTGGACACCCCACTTTTTCAGGATTTGGGTTAAGCCTCATGGTTCCACGGAAGAGTGTTGTTAATGCTACAATATAGAAAGACATTTTAGACAATTATCACAAGGCTTCCAGCTTTGTTCAAATTTTGTTATGGGGCCCCATAACCTGTAGCTACGCCCCTGGTCAGCATTACTCTCTGCATCATTACACCGTGACTGTCTGTGAGGTTTCACACTCACAATATGTCCTCAGTTTTCCAGATGAAATTACATTGGGCTTGGCGTCATTCAACCTGGAAGACTGAGGACCTCTAGTGTCAAGAAAAAATTACTGCGCGGGGCAGCACCAGAGCTGGAGGGGAGGTAAATATATATACAGGTGAAACTTGAATAATTAGAATATCGTGCAAAAGTAATTGCAGTAAGTGCTGCAAAAGGGGCCCAAACCAAGTACTGAGTACATATGCATGCTTGTACTTTTCAGAGGTCCGATATTGTTCCTTGTACAATCCTTGTTTTAGTGATTGCATGTAATAATCTACTTTTTTGAGGTTGTGGATTTGGGGTTCTTGGGGTTTTCATGAGCTGTAAGCCATAATCATCACAATTATGACAAATCACGGCTTGAATTATCTTGCTTTGCATGTAATGAGTCTATCTCATATATTAGTTTCACCTTTTAAGTTGCATTAGTGAAATAAATGAACTTTGCACAATATTCTAATTATTATTCGAGTTTCACCTGTACATACATACATAATATTTCAGCCAGGATTGGGTTTTTTAAGACCTGTTGGGGGACATTTTTGTTATGTACCTAGAATTGGACATGAACACATTGGTAAGATAATCTACTCAAGCTCATATGTTTTACATGCGTAACTAAAAAATCATAAAACACATATATACTGTTTTATAATTGTAACTGAAAAGGTATCTGTTGGCATATACACTATGTATTGTGGCTAATTCAATTTCAGAACAGCCTGTCTGGCATACAAAACCTTTGAATATCCTTTCACGAGATGCAGTCACCAAAAAGACACCCTTTTAACATTTCTTTTTCTTCTTTTATACTTAAGCCATCCTGGAAAAGCTGGAGGAATATTTCAGCATTCGCACCCTGTACTTCATAGCGTATCTTGCATTTGGACTGGGCACTGGTCTAGCCACACTGTGTAGTAATCAGTACATCATCCTGTCCCTATGTATTACACATGGAATCCTCTTCTCCACACTGTGCATCCTGCCATACTCACTTCTCTGTGATTACTACCAGAATAAGAAGGTACGTATGCTTCTTTTAAAGTAGATGTACACACGATCACTATAATCTATCTTTCAGTTTAAAGGTTCATGCACAAGGGCACCTGGGGCCGTACAATGTAAAAAGTGGGCATATTTCCCTGCCCAAGCCACAGCTACTGTGTACAGCTGCTCATAGAAATCAATGGCTGTCCATGGCTGTAGGTGGGTATACGCTGATACTTGTGTAAACATAGGCATGCATACAGACGTACAAGACCGGATGCAGACAGTCTGTATCCAGTGGCATATGTCAATATGCATGACCTAAGTAGGCTAAATACATTCCAGGTGCAGCAGAATCTTGCAGGTAATATTCTATAGAAAGCAGCCACAGAGGGAAAGCCTGTCCCTTGCCAGCATGCTGAATACAATGACCTATGCTGTCTCTGTGTGAAAGCAGTGGTCTCTCTGCACAGGTCCCACATACCCCTGCTAAGCCGGACCCAAAGCTCTCCAATCAGCAAGAAGCATGCGCTATGCTGATTGCAAAGCTTAAGGTATGACTCATTGGGGGTTGTTTGTTTTTTTAACAATCTGTTAATACAATACTACTGTGGTTCGGTGGCACTTCTGTAAAGTAACAGGAGCATTGCTGGATTCAAAAAACTGTCTAAACCCAAGGACAAAAAATAAATGTAACATATTGCACGTGACCAGATGTGGTGGCTGCATTAGCTTTCTTTATGCCAAGTACATTTTCTGTCAGTACAATGAAATACATGTTGATCTTACTAGATATCCAGTGTCTTTGTAGCTTCCTGCACTTACATTTCAAACAATGTTATCAATTTTCCTAACTATCTTAAGTGAACTTCCCAACACCACCACTTTATGTTATGTAGATGAGGAGAGGGATGAAAGGTGAAATCTCCCCAGTGGTGTCACAGACAAAAAAAACCCTGATATAAATTTAACTTTCCCCACTCTATAAAAAAAATGGGTGCAGTTATGCTTCATGGTGATCTGGGCTTTTCCACAACTCCAGAGGAAAAGGTGTGGACTTTCTACCTACCAGGCACAAAAATGGCACTTGAATATTAGATGTCAAGAGATAAAAAATAACTGTTTCCAAGAACCACCCGCACTCTTTGCGGTCTGCAACCTTCCTTCCAACCTGACGTCACTATGTCGCTCTGATGAAGGGTCTCTGCAAGGTCCCGAAACGCTGGCTTCAGCTTCTAATGACATGCCGTGACATTTTTCAATAAACATATCAAAGAGATATTGAATTCGTCCGTGTGTGTGCCGGTGACCTGTTGAGATAAAAATAATCTTCCTGGGTAGATATTTGTGCTCTACAGTCATGTATGGTCAGCCTACAGGGACCCATGTACTGTAGTAATGAACATAATGCTTTAAGGATGGGGGAGGCAAAGATTGGAATTCATTCTTCCATTAATTAAGGTTTTAATGTTGGCAGTGTGCTCTCTTCTTCCAGCAGCAGTGGCTGAGATCACTGTTAATGGGCACACTTGAACGTGCTGGGAGCTCCCGCTGGGGACACACTTCTTCACCTGGCTCAACCTGCTGTTCAGCCAAGGCAGAGGGGGGGTTGATCACCTAGAGGTTTTGTGCAGACAGGTTGTGCAGAACCTACAGGTATGCATATGTAAAGTGCTTTGCAATGTGTCGGGGATGATGGAAAGCATTTGGGATTTTTTGGCAAAAGGTGAACTAACCCTTTCAATTTTATAGTACCTATGTTTCCTAGCCTCCTCCATTGCAGTATATTATTTTCTCCAAAAGAATAAGTGCATTTTGAAAGAAACTTGTCACCGGAGGAATATGGCAGCTGCCATTGCAAAATTATTTTTAAAGGTGCCTTCTTCCGGGTCATCATTCTTTACGTCATGCTTTACCAATAAACGATTCACTGACCTGGAACAAGTATGTTCATATTAGGCATCCTGACACCTAATATATCCCTGCTTTTCCCAGGCTGATATCTCACCAAGCAGTAAAGAAAATTATGTTCTTCATAATAAATTATAAATGGTCGTTTCCATGTTTCTGTCCCAACAAGTTCCTTTGGAGGCAAGATGTTCTACCTAACCTAACATATCTGGTACCAAAAAGTTCACATGCCTATGTCAATTGATCATTTCAGCATACAACCCATGCACCATTAAAAGAACATCCCATATGTGTTTAAATATCTATTATATATTATCATATCTATATCATATACAATATTTAATCAATAAATGTCTTTTTTCCAGTTTGTAGGTTCCAGCGCTGAGGGTACCAAACGTGGGATGGGTGTGGATATCTCCCTTCTCAGCTGCCAGTATTTTCTCGCCCAGATCCTGGTCTCCATTGTCATGGGTCCTCTGACGTCAATTGTGGGGAGTGCCAACGGAGTCATGTACTTCTCCAGCCTCATGGCATTCGTGGGCTGTTTCTACTCCTCTTTATTTGTTATCTACGACATTCCACCAAGTGGAGATCTGGATGACGAGGAGCAGCCGCTTCTACTAAACATTTGAACTGTCTACAGAAAGTTTGTAAACGGAACTTGGTTTTAAACTCAATAAATACATGCTAGATATTGAGCTGGCTTTTTGGGTATTTTTGACCCGAGGTTCTAATGAAGCCACCACAGAATAAGAATAAGTGACACAACTGTGCAGAATAAATCATTATACATGTCACAGCATGGGTTGTATGGGATATTTGTGTGATGAATTTGTTTTTGAAAAGCAATTGACATATAATATCCACAATATGTTACAAAAATATAAAAATACTGGATAACCAACCTACACCAATCAGCCATATCATTATGACCACTGAGAGGTGAAGTCAATAACATTCATATTCTCATTGCACTTGGAAGTGGATGGGATATATTAAATGAACATTTTGTCCCTGAAGTTGGCGTGTTGGACGCAGAAAATTTGGCCAAGTGTAAGGATTTGAGCAACTTTGACAAGAGCCAAATTGAGATAGGTAGATGACTGGGTCAGAGTAACCCCAAAGTTGTAGCTCTTGTGCCATGTTCTTGGTCTGCAGTGGTCAGGACCTACCAAAAGTGGTCCAAGCAAGAAAACCAGCTACAGGGTCATGGGTGGCCAAGGCTCAGTTATACACATGGGGAGCGAAGGTTGGCCCTTGTAGTCCGATCCAATAGAAGAGCTACTGTAGCTCAAACTGCTGAAATAGAACCACAACATACCTTCAGAGGTCTACTGGAGTCAATGCCTTGATGGGTCAGGGCTGTTTTGGTGGCAAAAGAAGGACCTACTCACTATTAGGCTGATTGTCATAATGTTATGGCTGATATGTGTATCTTGCGGTGATGCAAAAATGCAGATATTTAAACACTGAAGCAACAGAAAATACTAAAGCAGAACTCCAGGCAAGGATTTAAATACAAAGTTGAGCCAAATATATAGGAAACATTTTTACTTGTGAGAGCATTTGTGAATGTGTAAAGACACTAACCTTTGCCAGACAGCAAAAGGCAGTTCTTCGACCTGCCCTGATGCAGCAGCAAATGAACAGGAATCCAGTGATTCAGGCCGGAGACGCTGTGAGGAGTGCAGGGGGACATATTGGACTTTAATACTGATGCAGCAGCAGACATCTGTCAAGAACACACCCCCAGCTTGCTGATTGGACAATGAACCAGCACGCTGGTGATGACATCTCTCTGCGTATTCTGCTCTCTTCTCCTATCAACATGTTCTTTGTTAGTAAATGAAGCGGGGTCTGACTGGCTAGCCATCCCTCTTCAAGTCTGAATCCTACTGCATAGGAAAATACAAAATGCTGATAGCAAGACAAATTCAGATACACTTGTTACATTAAAAAAAAAAAAAAAACATTTATCTTTTTTAATAAATCCATAAATGCATCCAAAATGTTGAAGCTTCGGACACATTTCAGAACTGAGCCAAGCAAGTAAATGAGAAATAATGTAGAATAGACAAAGCAATACATATATTTGACCACTAGGTGGTGCGGTTTAGCAGTGTGTGTGTCTAGATGAGCAAAATGCAGTTATTGAAACTGCAAATATTTGGAGATCCCCAAAGACACTTGTTAATGTTGCACTTCTTCATTTTTATAACCTGCATTAAAGTGGAAGTAAAGTTGTAAATAAAAGAAATCTGATCGGCAGGCTTTCTATGACAGAAGGAACTGTGTAAGTCAATTCTGCCGTAAAAGCTTCTTGCTGCCATTCAGCAATTTTTTTTGTCTGTACAGTGAGCCGTGCATGCTCAGACCAGGCAGGCCGAGGTGATGTAAATCCGGTGTGCATGCATGGGAGTTACATCATTGGTGCCCGGCAGGGCCGGATTTACTCTCTCTGCTGCCCTAAGGCCAAGTTCCTCAATGTGCCCCCCTACCTGCCAACCCCCTCCCCCCCCCATCTTGGTTGGCCTAGTGGGAAATCTGGCCCTGGTTCCCGGCCAATCAAGTGGCCGGAGACTCAAAACCCAGAAGAAAATTGGATGCACCGGCAAGGGAGGAGCACAGAGCTGGAGTGGAACGGTTTGGCAGGTAAGTCTGCCATAATGTGCTAATATGCTGCGCGCATTAATACATTATGAATAAAATCTCTGGGTTATTTTTTATTTTACTTCCCCTTTAATGGCAAAGGGCAGCAAGGCTCTTATGTTCATCTGTCAGACTGTTTAAGGGAATGTATGTGTAATTTGTAATGTGTAATTTTTTTATATCAATATTTTAGGCATTGTGCTTAATGCCAAAAATAAAAATAAAAAATCCTCTTTTTTATTTATTTTTAATAAGACAAACACAATAATAAAATATATAAATACATACAACTTGCAGCCGCCAGGTATCAAGCACTGATCATTCTGCAGGTTGATCCAGCTCCACCCTAGCAAGAACATTATAATTAGTCAATGAAACACAGGTTGCCCACAAGCTTGCTTTCAGTGCTGGGCTTTCCTATTATAAAGTCCAGTATCCTCTACAAACTGTCTTTTTTGCCCCCGTAATACTGATTTCCTAAAAATAGCTTAAAAGGCATTTTATAAAGGATCAGTTTATAAAAATAATACAATTGGACAAAAACTATTATGATTTCTTTTAAATAAATAGAGTATAGGGACATGTATCATTTCTAGCACACAGCAAGGCAAAGCTGAATACAGGTGAAACTCAAATAATTAGAATATCGTGCAAAGTTCATTTATTTCACTAATGCAACTTAAAAGGTGAAACTAATATATGAGATAGACTCATTACATGCAAAGCAAGATAGTTCAAGTCGTGATTTGTCATAATTGTGATGATTATGGCTTACAGCTCATGAAAACCCCAAGAACCCCAAATCCACAATCTCAGAAAATGAGAATATTACATGCAATCAATAAAACAAGGATTGTACATAGAACAATATCGGACCTCTGAAAAGTACAAGCATGCATATGTACTCAGTACTTGGTTTGGGCCCCTTTTCCAGCACTTACTGCAATTACTTTTGCACGATATTCTAATTATTCAAGTTTCACCTGTAGGTGCAATGAGACAGATTTTGAGATAGATAGATAGATAGATAGATAGATAGACAGACAGACAGACAGACAGACAGACAGACAGACAGACAGATAGACAGACAGACAGACAGACAGACAGACAGACAGACAGACAGATAGATAGAAGATAGATAGATAGATAGATAGATAGATAGATAGATAGATAGATAGATAGATAGATAGTAGGGATGCACCGATACCGTTTTTTCGGCATTGAGTATGAGTACCGATATTTATCTTTGCTAATACCGAGTACCGACACCGGTACTTCCGCTAACATGGAGCCGACTTCCTGGGCAATAAAGAAGCCAGCGACGGTTAATGACATTCCGGCCGGCTTCTTGATTGCCCCTGAAGCCAGCTCCATGCTGTTTGGCCAGCTCAATGCTGATTGGTTGGGAAGCCGGTTTCCCAGCCAATAAGCATCTAGTCACCAAACAGCATTGAGCCGGCTTCACGGCCAATATCATAAAGCCGCAGGCGGGTTATTACCCGCCGCCCGGCTTCCTGATGGTCGGGAAGCCAGAAATCTCCCTCTGACCGAATGTTCCAGCATTGGGGGTAAGTATTAGAGCATTTGGGGCAAATACAAGTACTCGCCCAAATACTTGGCATCGGCACCGATACTAGCAAGATAGATAGATAGACAGACAGACAGACAGACAGACAGACAGACAGACAGACAGACAGATAGATAGATAGATAGATAGATAGATAGATAGATAGATACATACATAGATAGATAGACAGATTTACAGCATATCTCTAGCCAACACATTTCACTTTGCTTTGGACAGAGTATGGAAAGGTTTTTTGCTGTCTGTGTCTCCCTCACTATTAGTCCTAAGGAACCTTTCCTATTGGAACACTTCTTGTGGTGATACCTGTCTAAGGGAGATTACCTGTTACATTAAAGAGATTTGCTCTCACTTCCTGTTATGTCTCTAGGACAGGAAGTGATGAGAAATCTCCCCAATGGAAGAGAGACAGACTGCAAGAAAAAAATGGACAGGGTTCTAACCATTTCCTATTCTACTCAGTACTTAAAGAAACTGTTGTAGTTGTATCTTGTTGTTATATGCAAATAAGGTAACAACTGACAATCCTTGTCTCATGTACAGCACATAATACAGAAGATTACTGAACCGTTACACAGGAAATATTTCAGTTACAGACATCTGCTTGTTTTACTTTAAGGAAATATTTGAATGACATGTATTTTTGTAGTACCAGGTGTATCTGCAGAACTTCTCTATGTCAAAATAGGAGACCAACATTGGTCAAGTACCACAAATGGTATCACCAGCTCACGAGATTGTGACTGCTTTATGGCTTACACTGCCAGACCTACAAAATTATATTGATCAGTATTCAGTAATGTAGAAACGCCTTGGCAATGCCTGACACCTATTTTGTTTTTCTTTGGTGCTCTTTGACATCATTAATTATTAGGTTAGGTCTCCACAAGCGACACGAGGGAAGTTGACCAAAGTTTCTGATGGCTGCCAAGCTCCACTGAAGTGCCAAGTTTAATGGTGATCACTGCCATGCCCTTGCGTCAGTTTTCCCTGGCCTGAACATTGCTCAGACAACAAAATTAAAGTTAGAAAATCGGGTCCATCTAAATCTTTCATAAGGTCCCATGCACACGTGGCTGTAATGTGCCTTCAGGGAATTCTGTGGCAAGAACCTACAGATTCTTGTGGTGGGTATCCCAGTTGTCCCAGTTCCATTGCGGCCACTGGGCCCATTCATGTTAATGACAAGGTGACAGCTCTTCGTGGCAGTCCAAAGATAATCATACATGGTACCACATTTTTTTTTTCTCACCACTCAGCTCTGGCCAGCATCCTGCCTAGCTTACTGACATCACTGGTTGCCAGGAGCTGGACAGGACTCCAGAAAGAGCATCCCGGGTTGCTAAGAGCTGGGCAGAGAGATGTGTATGGCCCTTACACATCTCCCCGTCCGGCTCTTAGCAAAGCAAATGATAAAAAAAGTAAATTTTTCTTTAGTTTTGGATGTAGTGG